AGGGGGGGGGGGGGGCAGGTGAGGCACAGGCGCAGTGGGGGACCAGGTGGGAGCTGGGACTTCTGGCTTGGGCTCAGTCTCTTGCTGTGGGCAGCTCTTACTACGTTTAAAAGGCAGAACTGCAGCAGAGCTAGCTCCCAGGGCGGGTGTGGAAGTAGCACAATCTCCCAAGTGATAGAAATGTCATCGCCTATTAAACCATCTTGTTAGTCTTTAAAGTGCTACATAGTCCTGTTTTTTGTTAGTCCCCCAAGTAGGAGCTTTCTACATGGCTCAGTCTCTTGCTGTGGGCAGCTCTTACTACGTTTAAAAGGCAGAACTGCAGCAGAGCTAGCTCCCAGGGCGGGTGTGGAAGTAGCACAATCTCCCAAGTGATAGAAATGTCATCGCCTATTAAACCATCTTGTTAGTCTTTAAAGTGCTACATAGTCCTGTTTTTTGTTAGTCCCCCAAGTAGGAGCTTTCTACATTACATCAGGAGCTAACCCCAATGTGGCTCTGCAGTTTCCCCCATTATCAACCAATCGATGGAAATTCCATTGACTACTCCTTTAGCTGATTAAACACAATTTAACATCCTTATTTTTATAGAGCCTTGCGCAGATACGCAATTGGCAGCTGCAGGCTCAAAAATGGGCTGTAGATATCTGCAGCCATATCCACGGGTGCAGATACCTGCAGATATAAAGGAGATATCCATAAATTTGCAGGCTTCTAGATATGAAATTTGTATCCATATCTGTTTCTGCCAAAAATGAGCCAGGGATATCCAGAGTTGCAGAACTGAAGTGATTATCTGCAGATTTGGAGGGCTCTATCACTGTTTTTTAAATTTTGTCTTAGCAAGGAGCCACATCCTAATACAAAAAGTTGGTTATTTGGTGGAGGGCATCGTCTCCCATTTACAATAAGTACTGGGTATTGTGCAGCGTTAATGTGTTCTGATATTAGAGTACAGTGCTAAGCTATGACAAGTGTAACAAATCTTGGTTTCCCTTTTTCCTCTTGATTATGAGTTTTTATAACATTTGAGAAACACCACCTTAACACTTTTTTCCCTGTTTCCCAACTTTGGGGGGGGGGGGGGTTAACTGTACATTTCTGAGCTAGAAAGAGGGAAAGCCAGTTGGTGAGACAATCTTCATTCTTTAGTTGTATTTTGATTTGGTGGGGGGAAAGGATTGCTATATACGGTATGTATTCAGGCATACTTTTCATTATTTCACCAATGAAAAGGGCTGGGCTTTTAAATATCTCTAAGTCATCAAACACCCAGTACAGAAGTTCTTCAGATTTGAAGGATTCAGTAATTCCAGTGATAGCCAAAGATGCTCAGTGCCATATAAATGGGCGCAGTATAAAATACAGGCAGTATAGAAATGAATGAAGTTAGAACATAAGAACGGCCATACTGGGTCAGACCAAAGGTCTGAAGAGAGGCTGTTCTCAGTAGTGATCGATGGCAGAACAAGGAGCAATGGTCTCAAGTTATAGTGGAGAAGGTCTAGGTTGGATATTAGGAAAAACTGTTTCACTAGGAAGGAGGTGAAGTTCTGGAATGGGTTATCTAGGGAGGTTGTGGAATCTCCATCCTTAGGGCTGCGTCTAGATTGGCATGATTTTCTGGAAATGCTTTTAATGGAAAAGTTTCTCATAAAATGAGATTTTCCACTGTTGAAAAAACTGCCATGTACTTTCGATTTACTTTCGAAAGAACGTGGCAGCAGTCTAGATGCAAGGCCACTTTTTTCGAAAAAACCCTGTAGTCTAGACACACCCTTAGAGACTAACAGCAATTATTTCAAGGGTATTTTTCAGTAAGCACCATTTTGCCTATGTTTCTGTAAATGTGGAGGAGTGGTATTCTGTTGATATCTGAACCCAGCCTGTGCTGGGGATTAAAATATAAAACATGGTTGTTATTCTAATCATTCATTTTTGTGCACAACTTGAGTGAAAATGAAGCCTCCTTAACTGAAGTGGTGTCTGGCAAGCTTATAGTTGCCAGGGCTACCCATGAGAGTGAGCTATGGGCCCACACATTAAACCAGCATGGTGCATTGATCTATTGTTACAAATAGCCAGAATGGGGATAATGTTTTCTTGGATATGGGAAATGCTTTGTCTGCTTGAAATCAATACATTGTGGTAATTATTGATAATCAAAGGAAATTAAGCATAGTCAAGAAGTTCAGTAATTCCACCAAAATGTTTAATAACGTATTAGATTTCCAGTGAAGTACAGAGCTAATGTGAGTATTGGTACAAAATATATGGTTAAAAATAGTATTGATTTATAATATGTACAGATATGTCACATCTTTGTCAGAAATCCAGACATTTGAATGAAGGGAACATGATTAATGGTCTCAGATCCACAATAACATACATGAAATGCTTTTCCAGCTAACCACAATAGGACAACTTGGCAAATCAACATTAAGGATGAATCGGTCAATAAGGATAACACATTCCTTTCAGAAATTTCTGAGTAAGAAGCAGTCTGCTCTAAAATGGTTTCAAAACATTTATATTGTTTTTTTCCCTAAATTGAATAGTGACAAAAACATGTCTGCAGGACACTCATATAGACACAATGATGGCTTTGTACTAGATTAATGATGGATCACTTTCAGAGATTTATCGCACAAGGCTGAGTTTCTGATGTACTGAAGATACACCAGTTTACTCCTGCTGGCCTGATCCTATTTTCAAGAAGTCAATGGGAAATCCTCTGTTGACTTCATCAAGAGCAAAATTAAGCACTTTATGAATTAAAGGAGATTAAATCCTGGAGTCTTTATTCAGTTGCTTAGTGCCTTTAATTCACATTGTCTGAGGACGAACAGCACTTCACTGAATCAGACTCCTGTGCTTACTTGAAAAAGATTCCTTAATCAGAGAAATACTGTATTCTGGGACCTGAAGATATTGCATTGTTGGAATACTGGTGTTTAGACAGTCCCTGGGTGACCTTTACAAAGTCACAAAGAATAAGCATCTGTTAAATGACTTGGTAAACCTTGTTATGTCTTCTGAAAATCCCTTTGTTAGAGACAGTGCAGGGTCTTGCTGCCCTGGCGAGAATGCAAGATAGCATTGTGTTTTAGGATGTGCAAGTGCTGTGCGCCTATGCTCCTCTCCAAGCCAGAGCATCTGCACTGGACAGTTTGCAAGTTGGTCATGGCACTTGCTTCTCATAGTCCTTTCACTCTTCTGAGAGCCAACAGTGGAACCATGGCCAATCCTCACCGAGACAGGAGATAACAGATCTTTTGCAACACACTCCTCCTTACACATCTGCACAGAGCTTTTAGCAACACCATAACTCCAGCTGCAAAGATAGATCTCTTTCTACTCAAGTTAACATAGTACAGGGTGGGTAGCTGAACTTTCCCCTGCATTAGCTTCCTGAATAAAAAGTGCCAAATTCTTCACCAGAGCAAACTTAATCTCAGTGTTTTTACGCCAGGGGTTAATCTTAGCCAGAGTCTGTCCAGGACATTAATCTGTACCTTATGTTGTATTGTATATTTTGGTAACCATTATCATAAAGTGGCTTCCTTGAGGAGAACATAAATGCTTCAAGATAAGACTTTGCTTCATATACTATATGTTGCCACACTGCATAAGTAATTGCAATACTTAAACTAAAGTTGCAAGATGGCTTTTATTTTTAATATTCCTGAATGTAGGTGGGAAACATGCAGTTGTAACTGCCACCAGGCAGATTTGAAACCTGGGACCTCTGTAGTTTAGTGTAGGAGTCTCTACAGCTGGAGCTTTAAAGTCGTCTAACTCTCAACTTAGGCTGTAGAGCTCCCTTGTTCTTATCTCTTGCTGTAAGTGGTCTAACTGCCACTGCACGGGACAGTGAACCTCATGAGGTGTATGGGTTATACAGTATTCTGTGATTTTGAATTTCAGTGGCTAGTTGGAAATTACTGAATGAAAACCAAAACAAATAGCAGTTGTTCTAATTAGTATTATTCAGAATAACCTATCCAACATCCCTCTTCCAGGAAAAAATAGTTCCTGCTTTCCCGCCTTTTCCCCCTCCCCACACACACATCCTACACCTCACCTATTCAAACTATGACAAAGTACTGTAGGGCTGTTATCATTTCAGATAAATCATTTCTGATAAGTCTGGGAGTAATCCTAACACATAATTTTCCATTATCAGACTAAATAATTGGTCTGGTCTACATTACACATCTACATTACAGTGGACGGTCGAATTAAGATAGCAGCTCCAGCTATGTTAATTACATAGCCGGAGTTGATGTATGTTAAATCGAGTTTCCGAGCTGTCCTCACAGTGGGAGGCCAACAGGAGCATTTGTTCCCATCAGCTTCCCTTACTCCTCATGATGAACAGGAGAACCAGTGGTGACAGGGGCACCCTCTGAGTTGAATTTAGTGGGTCTTCACTAGACCCGCTAAATTGAACCCTGGAAGATTTACTGCAGCGTCAATCTTCTGCATAGTGAAGACATAGCCTCTGAACCCAATCCTGTGCGGTGTTCAGTCACCTTTGAAAACAAGGCCTCAAGGCAAAATGTGAATCTGTAATAATCATTCTAGTTGATGCCTCCTTTGGACTTCCCAGTGCATCCTGTCTGTTCTAATGTCTGTCCTGCTTAGGTTGTAAACTCTATGGAGTGGGAATTGTGTGTGCAATCAGTTGTGCACGTAATCAGGGCATGAACCAGGAAGGTGGAGGGGAGACATGTCTTCATTTCTGACTACCAAGAGTCACTCTGCATCTTGCAGAATATGGCCCTGATTGCACATTATCACTTGTGTGTGTAAATGCTTAATGTTACTACAGAAGTGTAACAGCCCATTTGTAGGGATCAGATTAAGTGCTTAATTGGGTTTTGTGTATCTAACTTCTGTTTTTTACATTTACCCTATAGAGTCTAGGTGAGGCATATCTGGAAACATGGCCCTCAATGTTCACTTTGGCAACCACTGGGCTTATTGCCGCACAATGTGTTTTTCCCTCTTATGCACTATTCAAACACAGTTGCACTTAAACAGTTTTCACGTTGTAGTACAAATCAACTAAAGAATCTTCTCTCATAGTAGCTGGGGGCAAATTCAGTGGCCACCTAGCAGGAAAGAATTATGAGGAGTTATACTGACTATTTTATCCCTGGAGCTCATCACCACCGTCTTTTTTATACCTGAGACACAAAGAATAAGGTCTATGTTGTCATGAGACAACTTATTTTTGTGTGCTTCAAATTTCTGGATGCCAATCTGAGGCATTAAAGAGCCCTGACGTTCCCATAATGCTGAGCACCATCACTTTGAAAATCAGGCCCCTTTGAGATGCCCCATATTGGGTTCCCAAAATCACTAAACGCTTCCAAAAATTAGACTTAAATGACTTGCACAAAGTCACAGACAAGAAATCTATGGAGGATCTCTGGGTTGAGAACCAATATCTTCTGGCTCCAGTCCTTTCTCTTAAACACTGAACAATCTTTCAGTTTTAAAAGGAAGAGGAAAAGTACCCTAATATAAATTGCCATGGTAGACCATAAACTATCTCTCTGATATTTTGCAGTAATCAGGATTAGTATTTTTTTAAGATTGGGAATTTTCTCAATGCCTAGTTATGTATTTAAATATTCATATGCAGCATGTTTACTATTTTTAACAGCCTCTGTGGGGCCATTTCAGTTGGTAGAGATACATATTTGCTGTTCTGAAGTGAAGCAGTATGCTATTTTTTTACATACTCTCAAGCAAATTCAGATACAATATAAGCAGTGTAAATTCATGGAAGTCAATGGAATTGCAACTATTTCAATTCAATCTCAATTTTAGTTTCATATCTTGCCAAGTATTGTCTTAATGTTACAGAAATGACTGAAGTGAAAGCAAGTATATATTACACCTATATTTCCTTTATCCTCCTGCTCCAGAAACACAGGCTCACTTGAATGAAATAATAATCTCCAGTCACCATCATGCAGCTTATGATGCATATTTAAGCTGTCCTGATTCCATCCAGTAGTGAGCTGTAGTGCATTCACACTAGCCACTTCACTAGCCAGTTTTAGCCTTTTTGAGGATTCCTTTTCATAATGCCAAAACCAAGTAGAACACATGGACAAATCATCATTTGCCATATTTATTTTTTAAACTAAGCTCTGAGTTATACAAGTGCAAAAGTGATTCATCAGCCAATAACCTTTTTAATACTCCTATAAAATATGACTAAATAGATTATTTTTAAAAGGTGTGTGAAGTACAATGGAAATGGTGACACAACTCTCACAGTGCTAGGACATACTACTGTAAAGTCTCACAAGACTGTTTAGCTGATTATCATTCTCTACAATAGACATTCCCTTTGCCTCAAGAAGACCCTTTTCACTGTCAATGCATGAAATAAGAACTAGCCAATTTGGGAGCAAATAAATGTGAAAGAGCAGATTTGCAGTTTACCTACAGGACACATTTTTAGCCATATTAAGTTTTTTCTTAAAAGTACTGATCCATTTAGTTCAGGTATTATAGTAAGATCTTTTTGGGGGGGAAGCAATCCTGCCATGGGATCAGCTAGTGTGCTGTTCTACTGATGATAGTGGGATCTCACAAGGATGTGGGGGTCCCATTGCAACACAGAGACTTTTGACATTGACTTATTTATTTTTGAAATGTTTGAGCACCTTGCTTGGAGTTAGGGAAGTTAAATGCACAAATACCTTTACAAAAGAGGTCACCATGTGCAGAGTATGAAAAAAGTCTAAATTTGGAGAGGAATGGGGAGGACAAGTCGGGTAGGGAGAACACCAATAATAGCAATTATAAATTTAATTTTCTCTACCAGAGCAGTAAGCAATGTACATCCACTAGAGGGCACCATTTCACCTTTAGTAAGTAATGTCAATAATACATCAGAAACCCGTTTAAAAACAAGTTAAAAGAATCAAGGTCAAATTCTGCTGTCATTGATATTGGTGTGAATCAGGAGTAACTCCAGTGAAGCCAGCCGTGTTAGTCCTGATTTATAGTGCTCCTGCAAATCCTTATACAGCGAGTGAAAGTCATAGTAGCTGAGTCTGAAGACCCCACAGAGACAAATTTACTTTCCAAAATGGTCAGCCCTTTTTGAGGAAGCCTGTTTTCCACTTTGAGTCAGGCTTAGGCTGCTGATGAGATACAAAGCTCGCTTGCCAGGTTTGCAAATGTTATTTCATACTAGAGAAATTAATCTGTAATATCAGAAGTATTGTTTTTTTCAGATGGTGTTTTTTGTATAGTGATTTATAAACCCCAGTTGCAACCATAACAGGATTCCTTTGGGTTGTCTCAGTCTTTCAACTGAGGGTGTTTTTTTTTCTTTGATTTGGACAGTGAAGCTATTTCCCACTCCTTCCTGCATAATACCCTACAGCTCCACTCTTTTGGGACCTTATATAGTTAATTAACTATGCCTGTCTTTAAGTGTGCATGTCCCATACTGCGCTTTGAGACAATAAGACAGAAGAGAACATTAAACTAAAACTGATGTGTCAATCACAATAGGATTTTTAATCTGAGATGCACCCAAGTTGTGTAGTTTGAACTCGGGTCCAAACCCCCCAAAGTCTGAGTTTGCTTCGATGTGGTGATTAGGTTTGGGCTCCTTATTCATTTTTTTCTTTTTGTACATAAAAGACCAGATCCTCAGCTGGTGTAAACTGAAGTAAATGGAACTTCACAGATCTGCAGCTACAGGATCTGAACCCCAAATCTCTGCCATCTCAAAGTGTTCATATTGTTCAGAAAATGGTACATAAAAATCTCACATAAAATACTATTCTTAATTAATTGCCTAAAGCCAAAGGATCATGACATCAAACTAGCCTTTTAACTATGCAGTGACATAGGAAACAGGAGGGGATTTGTTCTCCTTAAATACTATTGCTTTGCAAGATGATTTAAAATAATAGCAATATCATACTTTAAATAAATTCTGAAAGCTTTGCCATAAAGTAACAATGTGAAATGTCTGAAAAGCTTTTTTTTTTTTTTTTTTTTTATTTAAGAAAAGGTTATCTGTCTAGATACCATAAAGCTATTAAAGTCAAGTCTCATTTAGTTTAGGTCTCTGCTGCACTGAACAGGCTTGTTTAACCTAAGTGTAAATGTATGCTAAGTGGCATCCATAATGCACTAAGAAGTATCACCATAAAGGTTATGCATATGCAAGGTTCTCAATGGGGATATTAAAGAATGGTGATGGCCAGAAAAGGAACTCTTGTTAAAATGGCACATTCTTACACCCACAGCTCTGTTCTCCCCATGTGCATTGTGAATTCTCTGTTGATTTTAATGACAAAATTACATGTTTTTCTTTCTGTCAGTATGGCTGAGTCAATAGAGCACTGAGAGAGACTGAACTAGAGTCCTGCTGACGCACATACAGTCCTTATTGTTAATTAAGATTCTGCCACTATAATTTTCAGAAACTTCCTAACAAGGTTTCATTACAGAATCTAGCTTGAGTTTCATATCCCAAGGTGACCTTGCAGGGTTGAGAAAATAGAGAAAACTTTCTTTTTATTTGTAAACGGAGCAGATTGATGGGAAAGGCAATGAGACTTTAAACATGGAATCCCTCAGTGCCATCTCTACAGTCTTTTTCATGGGAGGAAGGGAAAGTTAGCAGCTCATTTGCTTATGTCCCAATCCTGCAAAGCCATAGGCATATGCTTAACTTTCAGAACATTCATTTTAATGGAATTACTTACATGTGTAAAGTTAAGCTCAAGGGCCTTTGTAAGAGCAGGACTTAAATCTCTAGAAAGCATTTCTCAAAATGATGAATGTACATGAGAATAATTAACAGAGATTATCTGTCCAGGTAGAAAATCCAAATAGCAAAGAATTCTCTGCTACCAAACACAATCAAAGCACAAAAATGTGAGTAATTCTGCACTTTTTATAAGTGACAGGGACATGTAGGAGTGGGACAGGAGAGTAAATTCCATGCAGTCTAAGTTCAAGTTTAAGTGTGATCCTGTTTTATTTGTATGGGGGTGAGGAGAGAGTACTGCATACAGCTAAATATGGACCTTAAAACACATCAAGCAAAGGGGACGTATGTGCTGATTATTAGGGATAGGCAAATATTTGCAAATAGATGGAGCACCAGGGCTATCCACGCCGGAAACCTCTGCCGGTCAGTATAATTTGCTGTGAATTCCAGGGTCATGGGAAGTTAGCAATGAATCCCAGGGTCATGGGAAGTTAGCTTCTCCACCCTAACCTCAGGGGCCCAGGACAAGAGAAGTAACATCTTTGCCTTCCTAATGGGAGGGAATGTTCCCCACTACTAGCAGCCTGGCTCCCTCTCATTGCATGGCCAAGGAATGAGGGATATCCCAGGTCCCCTTTCAAAAATCCTCTCTCCTTTCAGCGTGGTGCACTTTAGGGTGTCTCAGTCCCAGATTTAAAGGGCCAATGTATTCAGCAGTAGTTGGGGGACAGAAAAGTTTCAGTCCCCTGGATGTAACAGAGACATCTGTGTAAACACAGAGAACTTGCTGTTTCCCCAAAAAGTTGCCAGGGGGAGTAAAAGGCCACTAGGTTGCCCCTGCTGCCTCCCCCCCCCCCAAGATAAATGCTCAGTAAGTGGAAGTGAAGGAGGTTAAAGGCTCTGAGCTGCTATCTCACAAGATGACACCATATAAGAATGAGGAACAAAGGGGAGTCTCAGTTCTGCTGAGAATAGTGGAGAGGTGGGGAATGGGATCCCATGGGAAAGGGAGCAGAGAGTGATGTTCTGCTAGTCTGAATGTTAATCCCAGCATCAGACTATTTGCCCATCACTAGTTTACTAAGCAATGCTTCTGGTTCTGCTATCATCTCAATGAGAACGGTCTGATTGAACCCCCCACCCCTCTTCCCAGCCTATTCTAGCCGCTTTCACAAGATCCTTGACACTTGATGGCAGGTGATATGGTTACATGTACAAAGAACTTTTTCCTAGCCCTTTTGTTAGACAGGCTTGAGTACAAAGAAGGGATTTCAATGAGCTTGATGTCCCATTACCCAAGAGGCAATGGCTGCCCTTCAGCAAAACATAGCAAACAGAAAAACAGAGAGCCGTGCTGGAGGAGAGAAGTGCTGCTCCGGCTGGAGAGGCTCAGTTAGACACGGGAGGCAGGCCAGGGCGCCGGGTTTGAATAATTTTTGGCTTTGGAGAATTCTTTGGGTCCTCTTCTTCCTCTATGTCGCTGTCACAGACATGCACCACCACGCTCGGGGTAGACTCTGTCCCTGCATGCAGCTCGTACTTTTCCCCTGGAAGCAGACACATGGAGTTAGGTCAAAGGTTACCAGTCTGGGAGAGCCAAACATTGACTCTGGCCTTTGTCTGTCTCTGGCTAGGTCTACACTGCCCCCGTTTTGCGCAAAAAATATGCAAATGAGGTGAAGGGTGGACCATTGCCGCACTTTATTTGCATAATTAACGAGGCTTCTTTTTGCGCAAAAAGCCTCTCTTGCACAAGAGCTGTTCTTACTGAAAAAAATGTGGAAGAACGGCTGTTGTGCAAGAAGGGTTTTTTGCGCCAAAAGGAGCTGTGCATACAGCTCCTTTTTGCACAAAAGCCTCTTGCACAAAAACGGAGCCTCATTAATTATGCAAATGAGGTGCAGTGATATTCCACGCTTCGTCTCATTTGCGCAAAACGGAGGCAGTGTAGACATAGCCTCTAGGAATAGCCCTGATTCCTCAATCAGCGCGTCTGTAACTGCTACTAGGAGGATTTGTACCTGGGACTTCTGAGGCTTAGTATAGGAGTCTCTACCCTTTGAGCTAAAAGTCACCTGGCTCCCAGCCCATGCTGTAGACGTCTCCTGGTCTTATCTGTTGCTGTGATCTCGGTGCCACTGCATGGGACAGTGAACCACACTAGGGCTAAAGAATGGCTCTTGTGCAAGAGTGGGTTTTTGCGCAAAAAGAAGACATCTACACAGCTCCTTTTTGCTCAAAAGCCTCTTGCGCAAAAACGGCCCCTAATTAATTATGCAAATGAAACGTGACAATATGCTAATCCAAACTTCATTTGCATAGGCTCTTGTGCAAGAGAGGTGCAGTGTAGACGTAGCCCAAGTGTGGGGGTTACATCTGCACCACAGCTGAGCCTTAGGCCTAGACAAAGACATACAGGAATTTGCTCTGACTGAGCTAATGCAAGTTTATTTCTACATGCCCCGTTCTACATGTAGGGGTCAGCACCCCTGCAACTGCACTGAAAGCTGGCCACAGGTTACTAACCAGGTCTATTCCTAAATGTAAACAAGGTGTAAAGGTGGAATCCACGATAATCTGGACTAGTTAAAACAAACTGCACTAGTGTCTGTGCCAGGATTTTGCACAAATGCAGCTACACTCATAGCTGAAATCACAGAGTAGACAAGGTGTAAATGTAAATGTAAGAGGACAGAGAAGGCAGCTGAAGGTCATGGAGATGGGCCCAGCTCAAAACCACATCTCCTAAATCCACTCTCTGTGGCGGGAGGGGTTTAGCTCTAGAAACAAAATTTCTTGGCAGTTCCTTGTATCTAAGATGAGCCAAACCTCAGTATCCCAGGCCCAAACTTTCTTCCACACTAGGATCATTCAGATCAAGTTACATACACTGCAGCTTGGCCCCATCTCTAGTTTCTCTAGCTGCTGTGAGGGAGAGGATTTGTTTATTATTGATAACAGTTCCAGCTGTAAACATTTCTAAATATCCTTCACTGCACGTAGGCACAGCATCTATATAGCTCTTATGACAGTCATCATCTTGGTGGACGGGCAAAGGACTGAACCAGAGACCTAGAGCTAAAAGCATGAGCAGCTATTGCTGGAGCCAGTGCTCTTTAGTGGTAGTTGTAACACAGTCCTGTTCTCTGCAGATCAGGTGCCAAGGGGGACCTGTAACACACTGAGTACTTAACCCTCCAAGTTCTCCTGTGACACGGGTCAGTGTTGTGGAGGTGGAAAGTGGGGCCAGGAAATGAAATAACTAGCCTACAGCCCCCAAATAAAAGCCAAGCTCAGAACTCAGTAATTCCTACCTCCTTTGCACCACCTCCTAAACAATGCTGCCTCTATTCAGTGTGGTATATGGGGCTGTAACTAAGCCCAATGGGATGGAACCAAGAAAAAATAAATTTAAGAAGAAGAACAGGAAAAAATTTTAACGGTGAGATTTGAGAGACACTGGCCTGGTCTCCTCGAGGAAGCAGGGGAATTCTTATGGCTTGGCAGTTGAAATTCAACTGGAGAAAGGATTAGAAAATGTGTTGTAGGAAACGATACTGCCCTGGCAGGGGCAGAATAAATCAACTATTGGAACAGGTCATTTTCATCTCTGATGCCTGCAAGCACCATGCATTTTTAATTGAGCTTGACAAACTGGTGCATTAAGATCCTGACAAAGCCTACTGTGTTTTTAACAAACTGTGCTTATATGACTGCTTTGAGTTAAGAACGGCCAATGCAAATTTACTGTAAATGCTCTAGGAGGAGAGCAAAGTGCCATATAGCTAAGGAAGATCAGTCCCGTCCCCCCAATCTTATTTGCTGCAGAATAAATTACTAAGGCTACTTATTATTTGTATTGTGATAGTGCCTAGTAGCCCTGGGGGGCTATATAAATACTGCTAGGGGCTACATAAACAAAGGACCAATAACTGGTTCTCTTCCAGGTTTTATAGATTACTGAGCCTGATCCTCAAAATCTTCATTTACATGATTATGCCTTACACACCCCCTTTGGAATAAAAAGTTGCAGTATTAAGCCTCTGTCATTTCAATTAACTCCACCTGCCAAAAGGAAAGCATGGTGTTTTGGTAGTTTGCTGTTTATCTGAGTGAAGCTTATAGGCCTAGGATTAGTGGACAGGATGCATTTTTATATGGAGGTGGGAGGCAAATTTACAATCACAAATTAGGCTTCTTGGTAAAAGAAGATATTTTATTGCTATGATCCCATTAATGCTGATATTAAACCCATCTCTATTTTTTGACATCTTTTCCTGAATCCAAATTGAGTAAAGCACTATGGGGCTGGGTGAGAAGCTAAAATATAAAATGGGAAACAGCTTGGTCATGCGGTATGGAGAAATTATATGGTTTTGCTTTGCCTATTTTCCCTGCAGGCTGCAGTTAATTTCTCAGCTATGGGCTGACGTCAATGCTGCCAACCAGCACCGAGGGCCACATTGGTTGCTGTCAGCTGCAAACAGCTCTGTGGTGCAGTGCACATACATAAAGCTGGGCCATTTCCCTAGCACTCCACATGGAGTAGCTCACATCCACTGTCATCTTAAAAGGTAATAATCCCAGTTCAGATGCCACATTCTTTTATGCTCACATTTTCCCTCAAAGGTTTCTTTTACCAAAAAAGAGAAGTCGAAATAAGTATAGACACTGGGACAAACATTTAGAAGCCTCTAGCACAAATAACTACAGTGGCAATTAATGTCACTTGAACAAATCAGGATTCACTGCTCCCATAAATCAGGTTCTGAAGGTGTCTATGTATGCCTTCCAATAACAGAACACAAGCATCTTATGCACACAACACCAGATTTTTCTTGATTAGAAGTTTCTGTCATGCAACTTGTGCCTCCCTATGCTCTTGCATAAGTTCAGAAATGGCAGGGGGGCTGTAATCTCCCCATAGGTCCCTTACAGTTCACAGCCTGTGTGGCTGAAGATTCTGAAAAGAAAATCAGGAATGAAAGTCTGGTTGTGGGATGCAAACTGACTATCCCATTTCAAAACACTGTGAAGAGTATTTTTCTTCTTCACGTATGTGTCAGTGTGAATCACACATGACAGGTCAGGCAAGCAGAATCCACCCTGAAGTTCAGTTGCATTGGTCAAACAGTGATTAAAGTACTGCCTGTCCTGAATCTGGCCTCTGATTTGGCTGCCAGCTCTTAGTGCTGCCCAGAGTGTGTGGCGCAGCACTCCAGAAGTGACTTAAAGGGCTCAGGGCTCCAACCACCACTGCTATTACTGAGGCAGCAGCCGGAGTCCTGGGCCCCTTTGAATCACCTGGCCTGAGGGCATTTGCCCCCTTTGTCCCACACATCAGCGGGCCTGATAGATTTGTAAAAAGGTATTTAGTGTTTTATACTTTAGGAAATGCTTGAAGTTGCTGCATTACTCTTTCATAGCATCTGTATCAAATGTTATATAGTAATATTTAAGTGTCACTTTAAACCGCCAGTCAGAAGAGAAGCATTAACAGGTATGAAATAATGGTCTGACACAAGAGTATCTCCTGTCCAGTAAAAGAAGGTTCATAGACCCTAGACAAACCACTGTAGAACACAAATGGGAAAAAGATGAGACCTGCAGGAGGACTCATCCTATCAGCTTGAATTCTGGTGGAAGAATGATAAGAAGATTTATGCTGCTTTGACTCTGAGAGGCAAGGATTACTAAGCATATGGAGAAGCTCTACCATGCTTGGCCTGGTTAGCTCTAAAGGACATTAAAGCTTAGAGAAAGTTTCTATCACCTTTTGGAAACTCAAGAAGCTCAGTTATGCTCACAAATAATTGTGGCTACAATTTTGTATTCACTTTTTAATGAAAACAAAATTGCGGACTTGAATACGGAAGCCTTGTTACAGCTGGACTGAAAATGAGGCCAATAAAACAGTCAAAAATGGTTTTATAAAAACAGAATCTGGTTTCTACATGTCATTGTTATTTAGGTCTTTAAAAAGAACCCTACCATGATACTATTAATAGTTCAAATACCAAGGTAATAACTACAGTATGAAAAGATCTTCCAACATTTTAAAGGGACACTGAGGCCAAAAATCATGGGCCAAATCCCAGCTCATATGAACTGATGTGTCTCCACTGAAGTGATTGGTGTTTTGGTGATAATGTCTTAGTCCCAAATTAGGTTTACAGACCTAATTAAATGCCAGTTTACTTTTGCTGATTATTTAGATTGTAGTAGTGCCAAAATATACTAGGCACTCTCCAAACACAGAGATTAAGTAAATTAGCAGCTAGAATCAGAAATATAAAAATACTGTCAGCTAGCAGAAAAATACAATGGCAGTCAGCAAGGTCTCTACCTTAATAGTTAGCTTTTGTTCAAAGGAAAGAAAATAAATCTCATTAGAACGAGAAATAGGAATCTCCCCAGGTTGAAGTTCACCTACTCATTCTGGGTGCTGAAGTCTAACTTCCCAAAGGTATTTTCCTCATCTTTCTGTCTTCCTAGACATCTTTGCAAGAGGACTGGAGAGAACCCCAAAGGTTAACCTCTTGTTCAC